ATTCCCCTGCCCCCACCCCCGTACCATGCCCTCACCATTCCCCTGCCCCTCTCGTGCCCTCGCACCTTCCCCTCCCTCCCTTCCCTCCCTCTCTCCCCTTCCCCTGTTTCTCTCCCGTTTCCTTCCCCTCCCGCCGTTCCCGTCCCCTGCCCGGACCCCGGGTGACACGGGGCAGCCCCGTGCGGGTGGTGTCTTGCAGGGCCCAGCCTGAAAGTCATCAGCACGATGTCGGTGGGGTTTGACCACCTCGCCCTGGACGAAATCAAGAAGCGGTAAGCCTTGGCTCTCCTGCCCCTCTGCGGGATGGGGAGGGCCGGGGGAGGTGGCAGGGAAGGAGGGTGAAGCTCAGCAGTTTCTGGTCCCACAGAGCTGGAAGTCACCTCGGAATGGGCCTGGCGGGTGGGCTTTTGTGGAGCGTGGGGCTGGGTGGGGTTTGCCACCAGCACCTCTCTCTTGCTGGGGTATGGCTGGGGTCACCCCCAACCCCTCTGGGGCTGGAGGAGCCTTCAGATGCTGGGGTGAGGCCAGGATAACCCCCCCAGCTGTGGCTGAGAACAGTCTTTGGAGGAAGGGCTGAGGAGCCAAAGGGATGTCCTCTTACACGTGCTGCTGCAGGCACCTGGAAGAGGTGTAACGGCAGTGACGTGCCTGGAAATCCTGATGTCCCCCCCTGGGCTTGCCGGCATTGACCCTGGTGAGCTGTGCTTGCCTTGCAGAGGGATCCGTGTGGGCTACACCCCTGACGTCCTGACCGACGCCACTGCAGAGCTCTCCGTGGCCTTGCTGCTGGCCACCTGCCGCCGGCTGCCCGAGGCCGTGGAGCAGGTGAAGAAGTGAGTATGGGAGCGGGGACAGCCCGGGGGAGCCGCCAGCAGACGAAGCCGGAGCTGCACCAAACGCCATGCAGGCCCAGGTGGAGTCTCCTGCAGCTCCATGGCTGCAGACGTGCTGCTCAGGGGCTTGAGAGGGGCAGAGCTCCCCGCCCTGCATGAGGTAGAGGACCTGCAGGAGGGGTCACTTGCAGCCACCACAGACCCCTCGGGTAGGACACACATGGAAGGTCACTGGCCAGAGCTCACTGACCGGCAGTCGCTCCAGGGCTGTGGTTGGCAATGCCTGAATTAAATCAATCCCAAGGCTGCCACTGCTGCACACCAGAGGTCCAAGTGTTTCCTGCAGGAGACCACCGAGGTCACCTGAAGCAGGAACCTCATAGAGGCTGGTTGTAAGATCATCCACCTTTGCAGAGGGGCTGCCTCCCGCAGCGCTGTGCTCTCCGGCACTGGGCTCGGAGCAGGCTCTCCCCTGCTGCTCTCTGACATTGGTTTCTATCTTGCTCTCTCTGCTAGTGGTGGCTGGACAACATGGAAGCCCTTATGGATGTGTGGCTATGGTCTGTCTGATAGTACTGTGGGCATCATAGGGCTGGGGAGAATAGGTAAGTGCGTGTCAGGTGCAAGGTTTATGTGTCCCCAGTGAGGGCAAGGTGGTTTTGGAAGCTCAACCAGGGCGGTGTCCCCAGTGCTCACCTCTTTAAAATCTATGAGAACAAGGAGAGCTGGCCTCTCCAAACAGCCATCTTGACTCATCAGGCCTAGACCTTAAAAGTTCAAAGCGTTCAAACTGTTCCACTACATCTGAGTTCTGCAGTAAACTGGACATCGTTCCCTCAGCTTTCAGTTAAACAAATGCCCTGACAAAGTCCAAGGTGACATGCTCGTCGTCCCTTCAGTTGTGGACTTTTGTCAGCAGGTGGCTACTTCTCACTTCGCAGTGTGCACCCATGGGTAGCTCTGGGTTTGATGGCCTGCAGCTCCCTTTCTGCAGCTTCACTGTGGCTGGGAGGCTGTTCCTGCTCCCAGAGGAGCAGCAGAAGACACCTCGCCCCAGCACAGCAGCTGGACACACGTCTCTCTCTGCTCCTAGGACAGGCGGTTGCCCGCCGCCTGAAGCCCTTTGGGGTCAAGAAGTTTTTGTACAGTGGCAGTCAGCCGAAACCAGAGAACGCCGCTGAGTTTGAAGCCGAGTTTGGTAAGGAAGGGGCCCGGAGCAGCGGCAGCGGTTGGTGGTCGGTGGCCCACTGCAGGGCAGTGTGGGCTGGGATGGCTCCGGAGGGGTGTCACCCATGGGGGTGGGATAGGGAGCAAGCTGGGGGTTCTGGGTGACCTGTTACTGTGAGCTGCTGTGGGGACCCCAAAGGAGGGGATGGCAGATCCAGACACATCCCATGCGGCAGCGGTGGTGGCGGGGAGGGAATCCTGCCACCTCTTAGCTGCGTGGTGCCGGCCGGGAGTGCCGGCATGGACTGTGGCTGCTTCTGCTCCTTTGGCCTTTCACCTTCTCCCTGTGTCCGTCTGTTTGTGATTACCAGTTAGTTTCATCCCCACAAGGAGGTGGAACATAAGGGACAGAGCGAGGAAAGCAGCAGGGAAGGGGGAGAAGGTCTCACGGGGCATCCCCCATGGGATGGGTATGAGATGTCCTGCGGGGAGGAGGGGATGGGACCACAGATCTTCACTGAGGGTAGCTGTTGGTGGCTGGACACAAATGTCAGCTTTAACCTCCTGCTTTAAAATGAATGTCACAGCCCAGCCAGGACTAGGAATGTCTCTGAGATGCTGAACAGGACTTTTCTGTGGACCTGTTGGAGTCCCAAGATGTGCATCAAATGCTGATTTTTCAATCCAAAGCCAGCACATTTCCACTTGGTACTTTTTTTGCACAAAGTCACTGACAGAACTTTTCCTGCTCCTTGCACTTTCCTCTCACCCCAAGGAGTGGAAGTGGCACAGGTCATTATCTGTAGACTGTGTGAAGAGATGTAAAGCTGGTGTGAACTGCTGCTGCCCTACCTTGCTGTCTGAGCATGAAATACCAGAGCCTCCTTTGGGCCAGGTGGCAGAAGCATCGCTAGATTCCCAAATGGGCTGATTTTAATTTAAAAGTGAGACAAAGGACCACAGTAACATCTGTAGGAACATGTGTGGTTCCTCTTAGGTGTTTGCTGGTCCTTGTGTCTCCCCGTCTGGGGAGAAGGGTTGGCCACATATCTCCAGAGCACCGCTCACTGGCGAATCCTGGGGATCAGAGGGGTTAGTGGGCTGTGCCCTGAGGTCCCCGAGCAGAGCTGTGACCCATGTTTCTCCACTCAGTCCCACTCACGAGGCTGGCTGAGGAGTCAGACTTCGTCGTGGTGACCTGCGCTTTGACTCCGGCCACCCAGGGAATGTGCAACAAGAACTTCTTCACCAGAATGAAGAAGACCTCCGTGTTCGTCAACACGAGCAGGTAATTGCAGCGCAGTCTCCTGGAGTCTGCAGGGGGATCCCTTAGACTGTGTGTGGCACATACGGCCATTGTGGCTGCTGGCACCGTCTGCCCAGCATGGGGTCTGCGGTCTCCAGCCCATGGTCCCTTCGGGTCAAGCCAGATAAGCTGTTCGGGGTGGCTAAAGCCTCTGTCTCCTCTGTAGGGCCCTGCCCCATGGGGTGGACGGAAGGGTAACTATTGGGTGACAGGAGGGTGAAGCTGAGGGGTTCCCTGGGTGAGGGCTGTGGCCTCCGTAAGCTTTGCTCTTGGGACAGAGGCAGCTGTGACAGGGCTCCTTGGCCATGTCCAGCGGTAGCCTCCCATTCCCACTGTCATCTTGTGGTGGTGGGGCAGATTCCATGCACCCCCACACACGGCGTCCACCCCGGGTGCCCCAGGCTGCTGTGCCTCCTCCATGGCTGCCTGCGCTTGACTCTTCTCCCCACTGGCACATGGCCTGGAGCAGGAGCAGCTCATGGTGTCCAGAGGGGTCTGAGCTCCACTAGGGCAGCCCTGGAGACCCGGGTGCCACTACCCAGGCTGTCCTGCATGGTCAGTGCCCTGGCCCTGTCCCCCTGGGAAGCCGTGGGGCCCCTGGTCAGTGGTGTGGGTCTCTCCCTCTGTGTGCCAGGGGGGCCGTGGTCAACCAGGAGGACCTGTACGATGCCTTGGCCCAGGGGCAGATCGCAGCAGCAGGCCTGGATGTCACCACGCCGGAGCCGCTGCCCACCAACCACCCTCTCCTCTCCCTCAAGAACTGCGGTGAGTGTCTGGTGGGACAATGGCCCTGCTTGGCTCCAGCACCATGCGTCTGGTGCCTCCTGCGCTGACATCTGGGGATCCACCAGATGGTGGGATAGGAATTTCCAGTCCCGGGAGCCAGCTGGTGCGAACAAGCAGTGAGTCGTGGAAGGGCAGGGAGGTCCAGGTGTTTTTGGCAGAGTGTAGGTCACCATCGTACAACAGGAGGAGCTGCCAGGTGGGAAGAACTTCATCAGCGAGATGTAAAACAAGCTTGGGAGGTGTTTTAGTTCTCAGAAAGCAGTTGACATTGGCTCAATTTTTAACACTGTGTGAGCCGATGCAGGCAGGACACAGGAACAACCACAAAACCACGGATTAAGGGCAAAGAACAAATTTAATCTCAATAGCTCGTGGATCCGGGAACCTCTGAAGCAGCACCCGGGCAGAGGCAGGCAAGCAGGGGCCGCAGGCACTGTGGAGTGAGAGTCCTTATTAGCAAGAGAGTCCTTGTTAGCAAGGGAGTGAGAGAGCGAGAGTGCTCCCACTTGCTGCTTGGGCCTGTATTTCAAGGATTCAGGCAGGCAGAGTTTTCTGCTGTGCTTTGATCTCTTCAACAGGAGGGCAAGAATCCCAGGCGTGTTTGATAAGGTGCCCCTGAGTCCATTGCAGGCCTGTGTTATCTAAGTGCAGATGTTCTACTTGTTGAGCACACAAAACTAAGCAACAATTAGTGTGACAGATGTGTTTTTCAGCACCCCACATGCGAGTCACTTGAGTGTATTTACAGTCCTCCTCACCAATCTTCCTTTACTTTCCCACAAACACGTTCCTGATGGATCCCCATTCGATGGGCTGGGGCATGGGGTGAAAGTCACAGAGGAGCCCAATACCAGCAGGTGCCTGAATGAGAAACCAAATCCCTGCTCCTGCCCTGCTGAGCTCTGGTGCTCCGTAAGCTCCTGGGCATATGGTCTGCAAGAACAGCTTCCCGTGTGGCTACAAAGCTGGGTGCTGAGTCTGCCTGGAGGAGTCTCGGCCTCCAGAGCGCTGCCACTGCCATGGGACTGGCTCGGTAGCCCACCCTGCAGGGCTGCCAGGCGCAAGCTCGGTGCCCTGCTCAGCAGCACAGTTCATTCTGTGCTGGCCTTGTGCTGACATCCATGTTCCCCAAGCTGCAGAGGCCAGCAAGTGCTTACACTATGGGATGAGCAGAGACTTAGAATCATAAAATCATACATCCTAGACTGGTTAGAGTTCAAAGGGGCCTTAAAGATCATTTATTCCGTCCCCCTGTCCTTGGCAGGGACACCTCCCACTGGACCAGGTTGCTCAAAGCCCCATCCAGGCTGCTCCGCTTCTGTGCAGGTGGTCTGGCTGCATCCCCTGGACAGCCCAAGGCAACTCTCACTGGGAGAGGGGTGCCCAGCGAGCACCTGTTTTCTGGGTGGTAGCAGGCACCAGGGGAGTAGGAAGGTGCTGGTGCCAGGACTAAGCCTTCTGCAGAGGAGGTTGGGTTGGGTGAAGAGGTTCAGTCAGGAAGGGGCTTGTTTGGCCACTCTTGTGCTTCAGCGCTGGTGGCTGCCAGCGGGGGAGAGAGGAGCTCCTGCAGCCAGGGCAGTAGCCCATCACTATTAGTTTTGTTGGTGCTTTCCCAGAAGCTGGGAGCTGCCGTGGGGGCAGGATGATGTTTTGGTGCGGGACGGGAGCAGCCCTCGGTGTTTTGCTGGGATCCTCATTGCTGCGGACCAGGGGGCTGTGCAGGGGGCTGTTTCTCATGGCCTGGCCATGCACCAGTGCAGCTCCATCCTCACAGGCACCACAGGCTGGGATGAGTTGGGGGCGGCTCCTGGGGTGGTCATTGCCTCCCTCCTGTGGTCCCCAGTGAGTGACCGGCCCTTCCCCTGCGAAGCGGGACCGGGAGCTTTCCTCTCCTCCCGACAGCGAGTGTGTGTCCTCTCTTCGTGAAGGATGTTCTTGGAGTAGGAAAAGTCTGTTCCTAAAAGAAACCATAGAGACGTGCATGAAAATTTGGAACTGCCCATGGCTAGTTGTCCATTTATGAAGTACAAGTTTATAGCTGTTGCTTTGATTATCTTTTTGCTAAAAACTATTTTTTATTGGTTTGCTTTGGTTCCCATAGAAGACAGTGTGAGAAATGATAAAGGCAGAGATTTCTGGAAGTACTTGCAGGACTTCAAATATTTTAGAGCTCTGGAACAACACAAAGCAAGACACAAATAAATACATATATATTTACTTTCACAGAAATGAGGTTTTGATGAGGCTTCTGAAACTATTCATAGATTTCACCAAAACTGCCAAATAGTTTCAGCAGCCAGAGGAGCACGGCGTCAGTAGAGGAGGAAGAAGGGCTGACATTACTCTCACAGGGAACCAGGAACCCAGCCTGGTTCTCCACTGGGGAGAAAGAACCTACGTGGCCCCAGAGTTCTTCTCGGGGAACCTTCTCTCCCCAGGGCAGTGGCATGCCGGGTGTTCAGGCACCTGCATTGCCTGCAGAAATTATGATAAAACAGAGACTGCAATGCAGGCTTTTCTCCATGTCTTGGGCAAGTACTGTCCACTGCTGATGTTATAACAATTTACCACTAAAGCAACTCAGGCTCATTCCTTTGCATTGTGCAAAAGGAGCCTTTTCACGCAGGTGGATGACAATCCCTGCCCTGCCTGTGCTATCTCTGGTTGGTGGGGGCCGTTCACCTCCACACGTGTCCCTGCAGTGTACCCAGAGGTCTGTAAAATGCGGTTTCACAGCAGTCTTCAGGCTCTTGTCCCAGTATATGTTGGTTTGTGCCCAGCAGTGAGCAGAACTTCCTCAAGCTGTGTGGCAATCAGGCAACAGCAGGCAAATCCCTCTGCGAGTTTGGCTGCCACAGGGATAGTATTTTATATCTCCCACCGACTGAGTCCATGCAGGAAAGTGATTGCTAAGCCTGAACTCAGGAAGCAGGATCCACTCTTTGCTGACTATCTCTGGCCTCAAGGACTTCAAAAATAGCTCAGTTAGCCGCTTATCAGATGTTTTTTCCAGCTCTCAGCAAGTGATGGTTTTGTTCCATGCTCCATGTCTGATGTCGGCTCCAGGCAGAGCTGCGGCTGATGCAGGATCTGGGTTGCCCCCATGGGGAGAGCCCTGAAAGAGGCTGCAGGGGGTCAGCAAAGGTAAGAAATGAGTGAGTAGCCTTCCCTGTCTCCTGCAGTGATCCTGCCACACGTCGGGAGCGCCACGTACGCCACCAGGAGCACCATGGCTGTGCTGGCAGCCAACAACCTGCTGGCTGGGCTGCGAGGGGAGCCGATGCCCCACGAGCTGCAGCTCTGAGGGACAGAGCCAGGACTCAAATTACCTTCCCTGGAGAAGCCTTGGGGACCTGTCCTGTGCCTCCTCGACTCTGCAGAGAAGAGGGACCTGCACCACAGCCATTAAAGAGATGCAGTGAACATTTTGTGCTCATTTTGTTTGAGACCAGGGTGCCCCTGGGGTGCATGGTGGAGCCCCTGAGTATGTGGGGTGAGTACGGGGGCTGTGAGTCCTGTGGTTGTGCCACCACTGTGCTTGGCAGGCAATGGACCATGTTTGGCCCCAATTCAGAAACACCTGCAGTGCCAGGACTGTCCAATATTTTGCTGGCCAGCTGCTGCTGCAGTTCCTGACCTCAAAGCCAGATTCCTAAGTCACTGCCAGGGCCAGGCAGTTCCACAGTGGAGCTTGTAGCCAGGGAGGGAGGAGAGGTGGCCATGCAGTAGAGCTGTTGCCAGCCCACTGCCGAGCATGTGTCAACAGGCTGTGATGAATAGGTGCCAGGGTGTGATGTTTCTGTTCATCCGGTGCCTAAAGAGAAGCCAAAAGGCTTTCACGTCTCCCCTGGTGTCTCCAGCTCTGCCTTTTGTCCCTGTAGCTCCTTCTGGGCATGGCTCTGAAGTGGGTTGCAAACTGCAATGAACACGGGGAGGTTCTGACACCTTCCACTGAGCTCCCCTCTCCAGTTCATTTTCTTCCCCGACTTGGCATGACACGTCTTGGTGCAAAGGGAGACCTGAGCGGTGCCAAGCCTCTAGCTCCAGGACAGCCTGGATGAGCACATTTCAGGGACTTCGGGCTTCCGTCTCTCCTCCAGTGACTGTCCCACTTTTGTAAATGGGGGCTGGAACCCATCTCCCCCAACCTGTCCAGCCAGCAAGGCTCTGCTCCAGCCGGTGACATAGCCAGTGAGGGAGGATCTGATCAATGCATGTAAATACTTAAAGGGGAGGATGGGGCCGATCTTTTTTTCATTGGTGCCCAGGGATAGGAGAAGAGGAAATGTGCACAAACTTGAATATAAGAAGTTCCATCTAAACATGAGGAGGAACTTCTTTCCTGTGAGGGTGGCAGAGCCCTGGAACAGGCTGCCCAGAGAGATGGTCGAGTCTTCTTCGCTGGAGACATTCAAACCCCAGACACGTTCCTGTGCAACCTGCTCTAGGTGGACCTGCTCTTGCCGGGGGTTGAACTAGATGATCTCTGGAGGTCCCTTCCAACCCCAAATCATTCTGTGATTCTGTGGGTGCTCCTTGGGCTGCTGTCCATGCCCTGAGGGCAGCATGCCCTGGTAGCATTGGTCCCTTGGAGGAAAGGTAGGTGGCTGTGACACTGGCAGGAGGAATTTAACACATGTAAAACTTCTCAGAAAACCCCTTTGAGTGCGTGCGTGTTGGGGTCGATCCCTCAGCACCCTTCTGCTGCAGGGGTGGAAAGGGTCAAGGCGGCATTTTGCAATTTTACCGGGGACGTGCCCGTGATCTGTTGGCAGCAGGATCCTGTGCAGTGAGTCCAGCATCCAGCTGTGCTCGTCAGGGCAGGAGAAGCTCATTCCTCACTGTCCTCAGCCAGCACTTGCCAGTGGCTGTGGATTTGCAAAGTTTTCTGCCCAAGACTAAGGGGCAATTTTCCCCATCCCCTGTGGCTGCAGCCCACCCCAGTCTGCTGCAGACCAGCCCGGGTCAGGGGTCTGCTCTTCCTCGGGTGGGAACCAACCCTTTGGGAGCCCTGGGGAGTCTTCCCTGGTTGGGAGCCATGGCCGCAGCTTCACGGTCCAGACCAGCACTTTTCCCAGTCTCCTGCACATGTGAGCAGTTCTGAAAATGTCACTACACAGCAAAGGAAAACACCCAACGGGGCTTTTCAGAACAAAAGGTGTCTCATCCGCAGCTGAGGCTCTCGCTGGGTGCACCCAGCAGCGCAGCCAACAGCCCTGCACCGCTGCGCTGCGGGCCGGGGCCCTCGGCACCCCCCAGCCGGGAGAAGGAAGAGCCTCACGCCTCCTCCCGCAGCCCAGCCAGACCCCCGGAGGGGCCCAGCGCCTGGCATCGCCGCTCTCCCCCCAGCGCGTCGTGGCAGAGCCAGCAGCGAGGGGTGAGCCTGGCCAGGGCTGGCAGAGGCGGGAGGCAGCGGGGGCTGCACCCGGACAGAGGAAGAACAGCCTTGGAGGGACGCCCAGGACAAAACTGGCCACAACGTGCCTGGGCTGCTCAATTTGCTGCTTGTTATTGTACAGCATGGGAAGGTTTCTGGCAGGGGTAAAAGGAAACACACAAGCCCGCACCTCTGAAAGAAGCAGTGTACTGTTTTCTCCAACTCTTACCCCATAAAAATGCTGAGCAGGGTGTTGCATCCAAAGCACTCAAGAGCTGAGAGGGGAGGGCAGCACCTGGCAGTGTCCTGAGCCTGGCGCAGAGAGAGCTGAAACACAGAGAAAAGCCTGTTCTTGGGAAGTGAAGTTCATCTAGTACGCGCTGTTCTTCTCTTTCTGTCCCATGGCAAGTGTTCTTCATGCTGAATTCTCTGCTTGAATTTCTCTTGATGTTAAATGAACCATACTCTAACAGCAATAATAGCTATTGGAAGATGTTCATTAATTAGTTATTGATGCTGGCTAGTTAAGGGAAGACCTTCGCTTCATGCCTCAGAGAGTATCTGACATGTTTATCAATACGTTTTGATTTACAAGCCCTGCTGATTACTGTTTCCCTGCCCATCAGAAGCAAAAAGTGTTGGGAAGTTTCTAATGAGACTGCTGCTGACTGAGGAGAGGTTTGTAGCTGTGGTGGAAACCAGAAGGGAGTGGGCTTCTGAGCATCTCAACTGGCTGGAAAGTTCCCAACTGACACAACAGAAATCAGAAGGATTTACTTTAGTGTGAAAACCTTGGCTGTGTTAAATAGGCACAAGTCCATGAGGTTACTTGGCTGGTCTGTAAAACTGTTGAAACCTGTTAGTTTTGACATGGGCATTCCATTTCCATGAGATTATTCAGCGCTGCCAAGAGGTCTGGAGACACAAAAAGCCCTACCAGCCCACGCACAAGAACCACTTGTTGAGCCAACGCATTACACGCTGTTGGCAAAAACACCAGGGTAACACAAACAAGTAAATCAAGTCAGACACAGCAGCACAAAAATGTAGGTTTTATTTTCCGATGTTCCATAATACTAACACACCGACACCTTTACGTGAGATCTCACTGTAGCATTTGCAGAGTTAAATCTAGAAAAAAAGTCCGGGCGACAAGCTCTCTGACGACGTTACCAGGCCCTGGGATGCGATGCTCTTCTTCCGGGGCCAGGGAGAAGGACGCGGAGGAACCGTTCCGAGATATTGCTTGATACTGGAAGACGAGGAGAGTCTTGGGCAGCACCGGCCCTGGGTCTGCGGTGCGCTCCTCCCGACCCGCCACCGCAGCCAGCAGCAACACTCAAAGCTGCTGCTTCCAAAAACACTCCAAGTGGATTGTTTTTCCTTAAAGAAAGAGGACAGAAGTCCTCCTGCACAAGGTCTGATGTTTCACAAGGACATTAAATTTTTTATAAAAAAAAGATCAAAAGTACAGTTAAATGTGTTTATCTGCTCATATTAGTTCTTAATTACTCTAATCTCCTTACTCACATAGATGCTTTATTCCTACACGTTTTAAGAGTTCAAGGAATTCAGATGTGCTCTAGGAAACAGATAGAAAATGTAAAAAAACCCCTATTTTTAAAACAAAACACTAGAAATGCAAAGAAGATTAAATAATCTAATAAGGCAACACAAGAAAATATTAAAGTACAAAATACTGCATTTTATTGATGTTTCAGTGAGATTTTTTAGTATAGCTCAATGCTGTTAGTCCCCTGATATCAAAATTATTATAAAACAAAATGTGGCATATATCCTAATGCTTAAAAAAATGCAGCACACTTCCTTAATGCTTATAAAATCAAGAGCCAGAAATAGGACTATTAAATAAATCCTATAACAAAATCTTAGCATTTTAAAGGAATTGATTCAATCATTCACTATGTTTCCACATTCCTGTTTACCTTGGATGCTCAAGATGCAAATGACACATTGACAGACATTTGGCTTTTTGAGTTTTTTTTCCAATGCGGAGCAACATAATTAGAGATGAAGACAAATTTCTTCATTAGCGACTACTGTTTCACATAGAGCCAAGCACAGAAGGTGTCTCCTTTGGTCTGACAGCCACGGTGTGGTTCCTGTGCTTCAACACTTCCCATAATTCATCCTGCCACACCAGCTACAGCACTACTGTTAGGCAGCACAAACTCCACAAAACTGCTGAATATCACAGCAAATTCGTTTGTGATACAAAATAAAATAAAGAAAGGAAGGTTTGCAATTTATTTTTTTTTATATTAAGGGAGTGACTGTGCCCTGTGACTTAAATAGCAGGAAATGCAAATCTCTCTCTCTCCCTGGAACAGAACGGATGCGCTATAGCCCTGACTCAGCTCCTCACAGCAGAGCAACACTTATCAGCAGAAGTGCTCCGAAATTGTATTTAGAAACCTAATATGCTGAGCACCAGCAGTTAGTTCATGTGCCTCTTTAACAAAGGAAAAAAGAGACTGCCGACAGTATTAGTTACAATGGTGTCAAAGAAGAGGAAATTAAAACAAGATTTACATGATTCACTTGAGGAGTAAGGATGACTGAATTTCTGCTACACAAAGTGTACAGTGCTCTTTTTTTAAATTAAATTTATGCTAGATTTTTTAAATTTATGTGGAAAAGTACATTTATGACACTACTTTAAGTGGAAGGACTGCATTTGATAACTAGTCTTTATAGAGAGATGTAAATAAACATGGCAAGTGAGGATCGTTCCAGGCTGGTTCGATCTGAGGAACAACCCACAGCACTAAGTAGAAAGTAAGTGTGCAGCGGAGGAAATTAAAGCCTGAAGATAAAAGTGCCAGAAAAGGACAATATGCTCACACAATAACAGGGATCAGATTGACTATCAGCATCTGGAAACAGCAAAAGACTTATACAGTAAAAAAAAAGCCATCACAAATTATCTCTCTCCTTCAAAATAACAAAGCAGACAAAGACAAGCTCTTTTCAGACTTCTGTGTATATAGAATTTTAACATAGGAGATACAAATTGGTTAAAATACTGCTAAGAATAGCACGAACAAGAAACAGTACTTCACTTACCACTTAATACAAGTTTCTATGGAAAAAATCAGTCAAACATCCAGATCTTGCCGTATTCAAAGTATATATACATCTGGCAGTCCAAAAGTTACTTGCCTCGGAGTTAATTTAAGCACCTTCATTACACAGTGTCCTTTACTACAAAACAGCCAAACATACATTCATAACCCTAGAACTATTTTTATAATTAGCATATTTTAAAGCATTATGTCAGACAGGTGCATCCAAAGGTGTTTTTCTCTTTTAAAGATAGGCAGTCTGCGTTAGTCACGGCAAACTGCTCTTGCACTACTGTCCACACATAACGCGGAAACTTGTTTTACAGGTCATTTATTTAAATGCTGTCACTTTTACAAAATATTTTAGGAAAAAAAAAAAAAAGAGGAAATTTGCACTTCAGTTTCTCACTCTGGAAACATGCTACTTCATGAGATAACTACGCTCTCACCCCTCTGCCCTGCAAAGGAACTGCTTGGCTTTGGGGATCATATCCCCATCGCCCAGGCTGACCGCCCGTCACAGTAACGCCTCACGCGCCCGCAGCACGGCTCGACGAGCTCGCAGCTCGCTACGCCTCACCGCGCCCCTGTGAGGTAGGTACAGTAATATCCCCAATCGACAGAACCAAGACTTTTGTGTGTGTGGCACCATCACACGTTAAGTGTTCGCTCACCAGTAAGAGCAGCCTTGAAGAAAATAGTGTTCGTGTCCCTGCGGCGCTTCCAGGAGCCGGACATCTCTTCCTGGCGCCGGGCGGAGAAGGTTAGAGCAAAGTGCTGGGCAGATTGCTGCTCTGCCACCGCAGGCAGGTCGTCTTGGAGTGTTTGTAGAGGTGGCTGGACTGGCTGAACCGCTTGCCACACTTGAGGCAAGCATAGGGCTTCTCCCCCGTGTGCACGCGGATGTGCTTCTTGCAGTCCGTCAGGGTCAGAAAGGTCTTGCAGCAGATCTTGCAGGCATATTTGCGTGCTCCTTCCACAACCAAGACGTTGTGCTCAGATAAGGCCTTCTTGCACTTGGAGAGGACGTCTGCGGATGCCCTGGTCAGCTGCGGGGGGCCAGGCTGCGACGGATGCCCGTTCTCAAAGGAAGTGGTCCCGTTCATGATCAGCTGGGAACTGGATGAGTTGTCCTGCAGCTGGGAGCTCCTGACAGAGGTGACCACAGGCATTTTGGGGGCGATGCGGCGGTAGCCAGGAAAGCTGCTAGCCCCACCTCTTACTGAGCCCATCATCGCCCTTGACAGAGAGTGCAAGCCCAAGCCCGACCGTGGAAAATCCATGCCGAACTGCTCCGCCGCCCGGTACCCAGAAGTCTGCACGCAGGGGAGACCCATCACGTCCTGCATTGGTCTCACAAAATGAGAGTCTGCTGGCTCGGTAAACGGATTCTCGACGTGTGAAACAGTGGCAGATGAGTGGCCACCAGCAGGCCCCGACTCTGGACTCATCAGGTAAGAGGCATCACTGTCCATTCTGCAGTCACTGGTGGTGTTTGGAATGTTGTCATCGCTGTTTTGACTAGCACCGAAGCCACCACCTCTGGTTTTATTTAGAAAATTTGAGATACTGAAAGTGGACTTGTGTTCCAGGTTATTGGACACCTCCATAATATGGATGTCTCCCACCCTATCAGTGCTTGACTGTGGGTCCGAAAAGCTACGATCGCTGCTCTCGGGACTCAGTTCTATCTTCTCTGCACTCACTACTCCTCCTTCCACTTCTACAGATTCGCTGCCCTCTGCTTGGGAGGTAACATCGCTCACCTCATCTTGAGGCTCTGGGGAACTTAAAGGCTCAGACTTCACCACCACCCTCATGTGCTCTTTTTCGTTTAGACTGACCTCTGGATTCTCACATGGGAAGTTGTTCTTCTCAGAAGCAGCCTCCTGGTCAAAGCTGGTTTCCACCTGCGTTGCCTGGGATGCCATGGACATCTGTGAGATGTTTCCTCCACTGTTGTCAGACTGGCTGGGCACTTGAGCATCTTCCTGAGCACTGAAAGACTGATCAAACATCATAGTATTATCCTCCTGGTTATCAGCAACAGCATCGGCCTTAGAGTTGTCCACAATCTTCAGCGAATCTGGTGAGAAGAAATCTTCTCGTGAATGAACTACTGACTGCCCACTCTCTGCAGCCACGTCAGAAACAGACTCATCCATGGTGGGCCTGATGCGCTGTCTGGCCCGATCTTCAGAAGACTGCTTACGTTTGTGGAGGCGACGGATGGGAAAAGTAGTGCGCTGCTCAATGTTACTTCTCATTGAGGAGCTCATGGCATTTGGTTGCTCCTCTGTGCTCGGAGTGGAATTTAAGGCAGAGCTCACAATGCTTAGGCCAAGCTGCTGGAGCATGAAGGACCTCTGCATGCGTGCGTTTTGCTCTTGAACTCTATCACTCGGTGGAGACATCGGCAGTGTCCTGGTGGTAAGGTAGTGTTTGCAAGCTTTAACAACAGAGTTCAAATGCAAGTGAGAAGCAGCCAGCAAGACATCCATAACGTTGCTCTCCCCCAGCATTAGTGTGGATGTATACATCATGTCTATCAGAGCTGCAAAGGCTTCAGCTGTCACTACTTCGCTGTCCAGCTGAATCATGTTCATAGTCTGGTCCCCTTCTGCTACAGTAAACAGGGCTCGGAAGTGTGTGCTACATGCTGCCAAAACAGAGCGATGGGCTTTGAAATGCCTGTTCCCCACCACGATGACACAGTCACAGAGCTGGCCATGAAGCCTCTGGTAGTTGAGCTGCTGGAAGATTTGCTCAAAGTGTCCTGGAAAATCCATGATCCTGTAAAACAAAACAGAAGAAACGATAATATTAAAAATGGCCAAAGTCCTATTCAGACTACAGTGGAAATGGGTTTAAAAATGAAAGATGACAGCTGAAAGACCTATGAACAAAGGCTGACCGTAATTTACCACTGCCCCACCGGCACTGTACCAAAGCCAGCAATCCTGAGGAGCAGGAGGAAGAAAACTCAGGTTCTGCCACAGGGCTGAGCTTGAGTAACAGCCACCTCAGCACCAGAGCTACAGCTCTGCTGTAGACTGAATAACACAGGTCATTACACCTCCATAGCACCTGTCCAAACTAAAACACTCTTGAGTAAAACATTTAATCTAATCCTGTTTTTTGAAAAAATCTAATTGTGAATAATCTACTGCAACCTTTGATAAATCGCTCACATTATTAGATAGCCTCCCACCAAAAAAGTCTGGACTTTTACTCTCATCTCATGTACTTCTGCAAAGGACTTTCTGCAGTTTCTCAGCTACTGCGCAGAACTGCCACCCAAGTATCTGCTTTAACACAGAAATGCAGAAAAGAGAGTTAATGGGAATGAAGGGAGCGTCTGCACTGGAACAAGTGGTCAGTTCTTATCTCAAACTGCCCCCTTTAACTAATCAAAGTTTTCTTATTCACTGTAGTGGAATTCACTTCACTGGAAGTGCTCTGTTTTTCCCACAACATAAATAAAACGGTAATAAGATATAAAAGTTTGCCAACATTAAGAGCCACCTCTGTCCCTGCTATTCCTTATGAGCATTCTTGGTCTATAAGGAAGTTATGGGGAGTTTTTGACAAAATGACACACTACTCAACAAGACAACGCCCACAGGTTGGACTAGATGACCCCCAGAGGTCCCTTCCAACCTCATATGATTCTGTGATTCTAAAACAGGTATAGCTGTTGATGCAGACTGTTAATTACTTGCAATTTTGTTCACTTGGATAAACATAGGTTAACTATTTCCTTGGAAGGATCAGCAGAAAAAGCAAAACTGGGTTTGCGAAGAGCAGCTCCCAAGACAGCAGGCACAGAGGGACAGGAGCACATGTCCACAAAGGCTCCTTCCCTGCAGAGCTCGAAGCTCCATGCCCTGCGTTCCCACAGGGGACCAGCCAGAGCAGCCACTGCCACCTCTGAGGCACAGGCTGCTGTAAGACCCTGCCAGGACGGGTCAGAGAGCCAAGCCAGACACAGAAGATCACTGATGGATTTACACACTTCTGGGTACATAGCAGGCAGCTGTAGAAGCAGAAACATCCATGGGCTTCTGGCTGCAACTCAACTCAAATGAGGAAAGAACACCTGCAGACCTCCCCCACCTTGGACTGCTACCATGACCATGTCACAGGAAAGCAGAAGGGTTCTTGTTCCTCTTTTGTAAAGAATATACTTCTTTTGAACTAGTTCCAGAGTTATTCTGCCAGCAGCACGAGACTAGGTTTCTGATGAGGAAACAACGTTAACACAGGGTCTGTGTGCCCCTGCTCCCTGCAATAACCCACCTGCTCCCCCTCTGCACCCGTGAGTCCCGGTGCCCCAGGGGCAGCTCAGGCTGGGGCTGACCGAGGTTCCCCAGTCCCACCATCTGCTGGCAGAGCAGGAGGAGCCAGAGCTGAACAGGGGCTGGGGTCTCAATCCAGTGAGGGTGCAAAGCTGGGCCCCCCTTTTCTTTTAGGCCCACAGCTTGGGCTATGTTGGACTTAAAAACACTCCAACAGCTATGAAAGGGATGGGCTTTTTGCTTTGTCAGGGGCAGGAGACTACATGGAGCTATCGCGTAGGAAGGCCTTAGACCTAGATACTCTTTGTTTTTAGCTTGTCTTGAAGCTACTAAGATCACTACTGTGTGATGAACAGCTACCATTGTCTGATTTGTAGACTTCTGAAGTGTTTTAGGAGGAACCTGGACAAACAGGACAAAGCTCAAAGTTATGGCTTTTGTTGCCCTTGGACTAACATTGGGCTACATAAAATTAAGGGAATTGGTAGGTGAAGAGATCTGAATACATGCCAGACGACATGGCAAACTAACACGAAAGCACAAAGACTAAAACCATTAGGTCACAAAATCTCTCATGAAACAGCCCCTGCCAGGATGGGGCTAATGCAAGAGGAGCCACTGTTCCCCAGCCACACACCACCACCTCTTCTTCAGGCACATGACATTCACCAACCACCTCTTCCTCCTTCTCTGGAGAAAGATCTCACCACCCAGCCCACTGAACAGAGAACCTTGGCCCTCTCCAAAGGATGTGTGCTTGCAAAGGACCACAGCTGTACCTGAACACTGAAAAGCCAAAACCTCTGTTGCCAAAAATCTGTTGCCTCCAACTGTAATTGGTTCCTGTGTATTTCAAAAAGAAGAAATAAATACACTTCATGGCTTCCAGCAATGGTGAGAATCCAGGCTTAATGGCAGCATCAAAAATTCCCTAGTTTGGCAGAACTAAGGCTATGATGCCTGAATGCCTGAAATAAGCACCGTAATGAGATTTAATTAAGTCCTGTGTCATGGTCTCCCTTACGTCTGTAAATGAAGTTATGTATAAAACAGAAGAATTCGAGTTTGCTGCTTTTTTTTAAATAAGAAATAGGAGTACAGATAATAGGTGATTTTATTTCTCTTTCACTAGCAATGCACATTTGACAGTAAAAATAAGATGACATTTTCTAACAGAAAAACACTAAACAAGACAAACATTGGAACTGCAGTTTTTATTTCTACGTATTTTGTCCAAGAGAAGTGCAATACAAGGCAAAGTGAGGAAATGCTTCTTGGAGGCTGTTGGAAGGGGGAGGAACAACAGAGCAGACCCTGAAACTCACTGACCTCAGGCAGCCGGACAGAAGGAAGATGGGGAGCCTGCGACAAGAGCCACAGGTCTCAGCAGGACATGGCAGAGGCCAGGTAGTGCTGCTGCCTCCCTGCCTGCCCCGGCTGGTCAGGGACACCTGGTGGAATTCCTGCCTGCCCTTGTTCCAGCGAGCATGGTGCAGGGATGACCTCCACTGTGAGGAAAGCTCCCCCCTCAGCCCGGCATCTCTGGAAAGCTGGAAGGGGGCTGCCAAACAGTTCTTCATTTATCTTCTTTTGCCCACCTCTGAGATGGGTGAGGTGTTACACCAGAGATAACTCTGTCCTGGGCTTTACGGGACTAAAATACAGGATCTAGTTCCCAAAGTAGCAAATAAACTCTCACTCCATTCAGAGTCCCATCACTATAACCTCTGTGTGCTTTTGGGGGGCCTGGATGTTGATAGACTTTCTTTTCACTTCATGCCCCAGTAAGGAGCGGCAGATCCAGGAAACCATCTGACAGTGGTACGGCTGTACACAGGGCTGATCCACACAGCGTACAATGCGATAGTGCACCAGCTGGACAATGCCAGGCATCCACTACACCAGGAGAGGCAAGGGATCTCCTTTCCCGAAGGACCAGAGCTGGAGGACACCATGAAATTAACTACAGTGACTCCAAAATGCAGCAGTGCTGAACCACCATCACCACCACCTACAAAGGCAGCTGAGAGGGAGCGCTGTGCAGTGCCCCACCTGCAACGAAGAACAAAATTGTTCTACCAGTACCTTCACTGCAGAAAACACAGGACCCAGCAGAGACTACTCCAGCTTCAAGGGCTGCCACAAGTAAGCTCTTCACAAGCACCCAAGCAGTTCCCAGTCTATGCACTGCTTTAGGTCCTTTTAGGAGAAGCACTGTAGAACATATAAAATACTTGAGAGCTCATACATTGCCTCTATCAAGCCAATCCCAGGAGGTGATGTGCTCCAGAAAGCTATGTAATAGCCCATTCAAATCAATGCCCAGAGAAGACTGGAGGTGGAAAATGTCAAACAACATAAGGACAGGATTTCACATCAGTAAAAAGACTGAGCTGGACTCCAGAAAGGAAGACGGGTTACAGGGATGGTCCAAGGTATTTCTGCCCAGGAAGCAATATGCATCTGAACCAGAGAAAACAGGCAAGAGCTGTTGTATTGACCAATGATCTGGGATTTCAGAATTCAGAGAAAGTTCTTGCTTACAGTCACCAGAAGTGATCGCATCCTTCGTGCACCTGAAACAAGCGAGACCCCAGTTTTGCTTCAAATAATAGTAATTTGATTTGATATTAACTTTTCACAGAATCACCATGGTTGGAAGGGACATCTGAGATCATGAGTCCAACCTCAAAAAAAAAACCCCCAAACAAAAAAACCCCAAACAAACAAGAAAACCCCACAAAACACAACACCCCACCATATCACACCCACCCACAAACCAATAATCTCGGGCACTAGAGCATGCCCTGAAGAGCCATGTCTACACGTTTCTTATATACCTCCAGGGATGGTGACTCCACCACCGCCCTGGGCTGGCTGTTCCAGGGCTCTGTCACCCTTACCGTAAAGAAGTTTTTTCTCATATTTGAGTGGAACCTCTTATGTTCCAACTTGTGCCTGTTGCCCCTTGTCCTCTCACTGGCAACCATTGAAAAGACTATGGCTCCCTCCTTCTTCAACCCACCTTGAGATACTTGTAAGCATTGATAACGTCTCCCCTCAGCCTCTCTCTTCTCCAGACTAAAGAGTCCCAGCTCTCTCAGCCTTTCTTCATAAGACAGATGCGCCAACCCTTGAATCATCTTTGTTGCCCTTCACTGGTCTCTTTCCAGTAGTTCCCTGTCCCTCTTGAATTGGGGAGCCCAGAACTGGATGCAGTATTCCAGTTGTGGCCTCACCAGTGCAGAGTAGAGGGGGAGAATGACTTCCCTCGACCTACTAGCCACACTCTTCCCTATGCAGCCCAGGATTCCATTGGCCTTCCTGGCCACAAGAGCACACTGCTTGCTCATTGTCATTTTGCTGTCTACCAGGATCCCCAGATCTTTCTCTTTGGAACTTGTCTCCAGCTGGTTGGCGCCTAACCCGCATTGGTGCCTGACATTCTTCTTCCCCAGGTGCAGGACCCTACACTTTTCCCTCTTGAACCTTATG